AGGAGGAGGCGTGGGATTCGGATGGAGAGAGCGAGCAACCTGCGGCCCAACCCGCTGCGCGTCCGTCAGCCAGAGACGGGGTGCAGTTTGTGCCCGAGAAACACAGGAGAGACACCCGGAGCTTCCCAGGAATGGTGTGCAAGCAGGAGCAGTGACATGGCCGCACGGCCCTCGAGGTCGGCGTTCTTTTTGCGGGAGGCCGCAGCCCTGCAGAGGGCCGTAAGCGAGATGGAAAACTTGTGGAGGAGTTGTCGAGCTGCTCGGTTTTGTGTCAGACAAAAACCGCATCAAACCCGGAGTCCCTGTTCATGCAAAAGCAGAGCTTCACAGTGTCTTGACAGCTGAATAGCAGATGTTCGAGTGCATTCAGAAATGAGTGAACAGTTCTTACAAAAATAAAAACACTATGTCGTTGAAGAGTATTGTAGTATTTTAGATTGTTGTGTCAGCTGAAAGCTTATGAGAATGACGGTACTTTTCTTAGTGGGCAGAGGAGAAAGAAATATTTCTCGGAAATATTTCGGGAATCCCGAGAATTTTTTCTGCTTTGTGAAACTGTCTGATTTTATTAATTTAAAGTTAAACTGCCAAGTTTCTCTTGGCAGACTGTCGTGGGGTCTGTATGTTTGTGTGGTCCAAACTTACATCTCCTGTGCTTTGGGTTAAGCCGCTGCTTTTATATTACCAGGACTGAGCACATAGAACAGGTTAAGTCTTACATTTCAATATGTCCTCACAAGGACTTTGATTTGAAAGGTGATGAATTCAAATTAGTAAAGATTAGTAAAGAACTTCAGAAAATTGTGAAACTTACAATTCTCCAATGCAGTTGGACCCAATGATTTTAATGATCTTTTCCAACATAAGTAATTCTATGATTCTGGAAGAATATGGTCAGTTGTTTTCATCAGGCTTCCTTGTTCAGTTATTAGTATGTTAGAAGTATGCAGCACACTTCTTCCCCTGGCAGTTCATAAACCAAACCGTGTGCTGTGTGCTGTGTGCAGCAGCCCTGTAGCTCCCTCAGCAGTACTGATGGGAATGTGCTGCCTACCCTTGACTACTGCAGGACATAGCAAGGCAGACAACTGACAGCTTTTGACAAGCTTTGGTCTTCATCTTGAAGCTGAAGTGATGGGTAATCTTGTTGTGTTATGCCTGCAGTAAGCACTGGGCAGGACTCAGGGGCACAGCTCAGGACTCGATCATCAGGAGAGCTTAAGCCAGGGCCCTTGCCACTGCAGCTGGAAATCAGAAGAAGCAGTCGTATCACTGTAGGGGATCTGCTGATGAAAAGAATTGTGCCTTGTGGTGTCACAAGCTCAGAAGACACAGCCCCAGGTCAGTCTGCACATAGCTGACCTTGTGCATCCAGAGAGCTTGTTCTTTCTTGATTTGAAATGAAATCTCCTGAGGAGCCCAAGAGAGACACTCTGCCTGTCTGGGAGAGTTGGTAATCATTCCTACTAGGCCAATGAAGACTGCCTGCAGACTTTGCTTTATGTAATTTGGCCTCCTTAAACTAGCTGAAGAAGCACATCCTTAACAACTGGTTTCAGTAGTATACATGTGAGGAACAGCAACTTTCTTCTGAGGGTATTTGCCAAAGCATTCTCTAAAACCCCTCAAGCACCATGTTTCTAACTTTTGGTAGAGAATCTTAAGTGTTGTGAGAATACAAATACAAATTGCTGTCACCCCCACTTTTGTAGAAAAAGGGCAGAAGGGAAGGCAGTTGTACTCTAACATGTTCTCTGAAAGAAGAAACACTCAAAATTAGCAGTCATGTTTTGAAAGCTGAAGATTAAAGCTGTTCATTAATACATGCTTAACAGAAATGCAGATGTAAGTTTTTCTTAGATGGGAAGAAACAATCCATATCTGCTGAACAGTACTAACTACCTAAGTGTGCAGTCTACTAAAACTATATAATTCTTCTATGTGTGCTGTGAATAGGGAAATTTCCTTTTCTTTCCCTTCCCTCTTTTCTTTATAGCTCACAAATGTAGAAATGTGGATAACTTAAAAAACCTCATTTGTCAGAGTGATGTATTTTTCATTGTCCTAAGGAGAATCAATCAGTGCATTTACATTATTAATTTTGATTCAGGATGCAAGTCACTCTTTTCATTGAAGTGCAATTTACAGTAGAGAGAAACGTAGCTAATATTTAATTAATCAAGTGTTGGGTTACTTTGTACTCTGGATAAGAAATTCAAATTCCTACCATTTCAAGAGGGAAGATAGTAATTACACAAATATGGTGGTTAATTTATTTGTTCTGTATTGACTAGTGAAACAAAATACCAGCTGTAATTATGCAACCTTAATTCCTTTGTATACTGCAGCTACACAAAATATTTGACAAGAGAGGTGTGGCCTGTATCAACGCCATAAATACACTACCTAAAATATTTGGTGTTTATTTGTAAAGCAACATGTTATTATCAATTTACTGCACAATGTACTGTTTATTTAACACAAGAATATTTGTTCTTGCTAATCTAATATTGTTTAGCTAGAGATAACAAGGTTATTACTTATCAGCAGAAATAAATTAGTGTTTACAATTCCAGGGAAAAACATCATGCTAAACACTAGCTAAGATTTAGTTGTTTTTAAACTGTTGTTGTAATAACAAAGGAGTGAAAGTGTGTACTGTCCTGTAAATAAGAGAGATTCTTCTCTATAAGGATGGCGAGAGAAGTACCCCAGAGAAGTTGTGGACTCCCTGTCCCAGATAGTGTTCAAAGCCAGGCTGAATGGAGCTTGGAGCAGCCTTGTGCAGAGGAAGGTTCCCTACCCATGGCAGGGGGCAGAACTGGATGATCTTTTAAAGTCCCTTCCAACTCAAACTATTTTATGATTCTATGATAAGAGGCTTTTTCCTTTATGTCTGCCTTTCATTGTTCCTTTAGTCTCACAATATCCTGGAGGTATGATTGAATAGCATCATGGAGTGATTCTTCCAACCAGCAAGGACAATACCCTTCTCCTGACCCAGAGATGCGACAACTGAGAGGCATTTTAAAAACTTGTATTCCGTTTATTGTCCAGCAAGGACAGTAATTTGGACTTTGAAGTAATTTTGCAAGAGGTGAGTTAATCTCTACTTTCACTACCTGCTGTGTGTACTCATCCTGATGTTATTTCTCATTAGTTTTGCTTCCTGTTTTGTGTTCTGTGGTTGTTTTTGTATTGTTTGTTGGTTTTGTGTGTATGGTTTTTTGTTTGGTTTGGTTTGTGCTTCTCTATTTTTGTTTATTGAGGGAAGATTGGCCGTTTGTTTTTTTTCCCTGAAGGGGGAGTTACTACCATTTCAAAGCTTGCCTAAGTTTTGCTTTTTGGCTCCATTTAAAAGTTCAAGGTTATTTACCAGACTAAAGGGCTTTGTAAGTCTGGCTGCAGTGTCAGAGTATCAGTGTGTATTTCATACTGACTAACTGTTGTTTCTGAACACAGATAATAGAAATGTAATTTAAAATCTACTCAAATAGTTCAGGAATTATAATGACGTATGGAGAGAAAATATTTTTCCTGTTAAATCTGATATATTTAGTTTAGTAAAGCAAACCCTACAGAGAGAGCAGAAGTACAAACTTTACTACACAGCAAAATAACAGTATTAATTGAAACTTGCACATTTTATTTAATATAGCCTCCAGGCACAAAGAGAACTTTTAAAACTCTCTGAATTGGATCTATTCTGCTTTGCAGCTGCCTACTCTGTGCTGCAAATGAGAAACAGAGATGACCATCTATATGTCAAGCACAGTAAATTATGTGTGAAGATGCTTTGAATATTTTTAAAATAACTAAGAGGTAGCAAAATACTACTGAAATAGATGAGACATGGTCAAAAAACAAATAACAGATATGCTACAATCCAGACAGGCCAAACAGAATTCTCCTGTATCTTGTTAGCAATAAGGCTCTTAGAAAGTAAGCTAATTATCTTTAGTGTAAACCAGATGAGAGGATTAAGAAATAAAGAATGTGAAAAAAAGCAGATGTGATTTCATGGAGTGTCCAGGGAAAATTAGGCCTCACTTAAGACTGGTGTCTTGCAAAGTAAACAAAAACTTATTAAAAACTTTAGATACTGTTCCTTTTTTAACTTCTACCCACCCCCCCTTCATTTTTTTGCTTATATGGAAAAGCGTGTTGTGAGAAAGCTGTAGTTCCCAGCTACTATTTTCTATATTTCCTATGTTCTTAGAGAGTTGGAGGTATAC